CATCGTTTAGATAACGGTCACAGAATACCAGAAAATCAAACAAAATACCCAGCAAAATATACCGCCTGACAAGGCGATGAGACCTCTGTTCCTAAAAATAAGTTGAAAGGTTTGATTCAAAATGTGGATACAAATACTGGTGAAACAAGAAGCGCTTCCTCGTTGCAGAGGTTTTGAACAAAACGAGAAACAACTCACTTCTTTGCGTCGTTTATTCACGCCAGTTGATTTCCCCCACCTAGAATTTATCTTGGTTAACAATTCAGGAGCCACCAACCCGAGACACCTAATTAGGTTGGCCACCATATCGGTACGTCCAACAGGAATAACACATTTCCGAGATAGGCAGTGCTCCACAACTTCTGCTATCATTTTTCGAGGTCTTGGAGGGACGTCCAAAAACTGTAGGTCTAACATTTCTTTGAACTTCATGAGTGCGACGTGCATGCCAAAAGACTTGATGATGTTCACCAAATTTCTGGTAGTGCTTGCGCTGAGAACGATTTCGTTTGCGTATTCCAAACTGGAAAGTTTCTCGCTTAGGGAGCAACATGAACAGGAAGGGTTTGGGGAATCTACGGAGCTTGACATGTTATCGGATCAATGACAAAATATAAAAAAATTTTGGGGGTGGACATCACTGTCAGACAACATTGCATGTAGCCATCCATGTACTATCATGTGCTCACAAATAACTGAGTGCAAAGGGTGTTTGATATTCACAGCCTTCTGGGGGCATGTTCCGTCCCACAAGCTACCGATAAGTACGAACCGGTAGACAGAAACTTTGCGCCTCAGGACTGGGCCTTAGAGCCAACCGCCCCCATCGGGTAAAGTTCAGGATATGCGTCATATAGTTAAAGGCGAACGAAGTGTCAGAGTGATTGATGTGTCAAAGGTGTCTTGCTTGGCTGCCCATCAGGCAACGTTTTACCGATCCCGACAACAAGCTTGTGAGCATTTCGAAAATACATGAGTGGACATAATCAGTAGGCAGATATATGCTGCAGGTATAATTGTGCTCGCGTAATCTATGAAGGGCCAGATTAAGCCTCAACTAGTGTGCTCCCTTAAAGTTGGGTAATCAGCCTTATATCATTGCCATCATAGTTGGTGATAGGCGTTGCACTTGCAGGTAGTTCGGTTGGTCTGCTTGGAATCTGTGCCGCATCATCATCCGATTGGTTTACATTTGTTTGAGTCGGGGGACTGATCAAACACCTTTCTTCCTTAGTAGCTTTCTCTTATTTGACCGGTATATCTTGAACTTCTGCGTTGGAGTTGTTAGTGCACAGGTGGTCATAGCAATAATACAAATCAGAAGGTGCATGTGCACTAATGGAAGTTTTAATATGGTGTTATCGTATATGAGAGTTTTTTTTGGTGAAAGTCCGGACGGCGGGAACGTGTTTTCTCCGCAGTTTGGCTGCTACACGTGTTCCATGATTGTCCGTGGACTTGGAGTGCTTGGGCTGACTCCTTGCTCCATGCACGCGCGCGAGTCTGTGTGTGCTGACTGCGTTCGGTTTCCCTTTATGTAGGTCCCAGTGCGTATACGTGGGCGCGTCGGCACATTATTGGTTGCTACACTGATTAGGTGGTGCAGACAGTCGATGCCCGATGAGTCAGCTTAATGCGGCGTGTTTGTGCGTATGAGAATAAAAGACGCCTCGCGATCCAGTGAGCGACTGTGAGTTGAACAGTCAAGCATGTGGTTGACTGGGTCGCTACAGAGTCAGCTCATAGGAAATATTTCCGAATCGTACAGTTTCCAATGTTTCACTGACTTGGTTTTGGAGAATCAAGTGGAGAAATCCCTAGGTAGTATTTTCCAACGATATTCCCGGTTCAGTTAATATCTTCAGTTGAGCCCTCCTGACTGCGTCTGTCTATTTCGGAGAACTTTCGCGCTAAGCACAGATAGCCTCCAATTGCTTCCATTTAGCTAGTCACAAGATCACACTATAGATGGCTACCAGCCTATTTTTATGAAATATTCTTCGTAGTGAGTTACGGTTGACCTCTGAAAGATGGATGAGGGTTGCAGAATTGCCAAAGGAAAGACATCTTATTGAAGGCTGACTGTCAATCATTTGAAGGACAACAGGATAAAGTGACAGAAGGTTGAAGCCGTGGCTAGCGCAACTACAAGCACGGTCATTATTCCAATAGTACGTGCCGACTGGTCACTGTTGGAGCTGATCCGGTGAGCCTCCCGCTGGCTTCACGACGCTTATTGCTCTGATCACATAAATTGCTTGAGTTTGGAGTGTGGATAACTGACCACAGGAATGGACAACTTCGCCGCGTCCTTTTGGTTCAAGAATGGTTGAAACGAAGTTGCACAACGGATACCGATTGGGTCCATCGGAGGGCTACACTCCTATGCTTTAGACATGCTTCCGTGGCGCGACTAGATTCTCGGTTTAAAAAGGTTCTTTTACAACCGCCATCGAATTCTCGTCGGCAGAAATTACCGAAGTGAAGTGAAGGCGAGTTTGTTTTAGAGAAATCTACTTTTTCAAAGCTCAAGCTAGCCTATTCGGTAAGTAAAAGTAAAAACGCCTTTGTGAGCTAAATTTTTTGCTTTGTATCACAGCGTGGTTCAGTTAACCTTGTAGGACATTGAGATCGATCAGTGAGTTTTCGAATTTCAGGTGCACCTGCCAAGTGAGAGACTTATTCGCTAATTTACGTATCGGAATGCTCACTGGCAGAATATTTTAGTGTCTGCACGACCTGTCCCGGTGCCAGACTTGAGTACCACTTGCTTGTTTTCGTCCAAATTAGGACACCTGCCTACCACATACATTAACGGATTTCAGCTTGTGATGCACGATGACAGACAGACTTTACACAAATCGCTCACAACACGGCTGCAGTGAGCAGTCCCACATGAACAGTATAGCACTGACCCTCATGACTATTAATCAAGCTGCAGTGCGCAAAAATACCGGTTGATGGCGAATATGAAAACTCTATATTCTGAACAGACGAATTTTAAGTACCATCGACCCATGGCAGGTGGATCAAACGCTTAAAGAAATCTACCCAAACTTGTTCGGGGAAAGTGAAAAGAGAAAGAAGAAAATGACTTAGTTATCCAGATTTGTAGAAATATTACCGACAGCACAAGAACGATGCTTTGACGGCGAGAGCGTGGCCAGGACGCAGCTAACGATGAGTGATTAAACGGTCTCAGAAAGCGAACGAGGTAGTGAAAGTCAACTTAATTCAATGCGTTAGAAGACCGAAGCACAAGGCTGATCAAAGAATAACGACAGCGAGAGACAATACACACTACAATGAACAGACTGAAACGAGATTTCTACACAAATGCTCGAATTGTGTGCCGCTTTGATAAGACAAGGAAGGACGGGGCGAGATGTACCAAGTGGTTAGAGTGCTAATTTACTGACCGGAAGGTCCGTGGTTCGAATTCGACCTCCGTCACTCGACTTCCCGTCTAGGGTTGGGCACCTGGTAGTATCCCAGCCCTCATGCTCTACTTGAATGGCAAGGTAGCTGGGCATCGAAAGGGTGCTACAGCTGAACGATTTGAGAAGACGTAAACAGCAAAATCTACAGAGCTGAAGACCTAAGGATGCCGAAAGAGGGAAGAGTACCGACTCCAAAATCAGTGAGGACGTCCAGTAAAAGCAGCTCATTAGACTAATCGACCAAAAAGCTGGATGAACGTACACGCGTGGAAAGCTGTGATTGTAAAATTCAAGCAGAGTGTCACTGCGCGCAGTTGGTGGGGTGGGCAATCGGATGCAGGAAAAACCCTGTCCCTAATTATTTTCGGTGGTGTGCATAATGGGATTCCTAGTACACGAACCTAAACAGCGGGATTCTTACTCCGCAATTTTTTGAAAACAATCCCAGGGCCTAGCTGCCAGAAGGAACCACGAGGGCTGGTATACTGCCAGACTCCCCAAGCCTAGACAGGAGCAGCCGAGTTGAAGAGGTCGGGTTTGAACCACCGACCTTTCAGTGTTAGTGTCCCTAATTATTTTCGGTGGTGTGCATAATGGGATTCCTAGTACACGAACCTAAACAGCGGGATTCTTACTCCGCAATTTTTTGAAAACAATCCCAGGGCCTAGCTGCCAGAAGGAACCACGAGGGCTGGTATACTGCCAGACTCCCCAAGCCTAGACAGGAGCAGCCGAGTTGAAGAGGTCGGGTTTGAACCACCGACCTTCCCGTCAGTGTTAGGATGACAGATGCTGGATGAATAGGGCAAGTCGAACTATCAACCAAGCCGACAAAATATGATCAAAAAGTGTCCGCTGTGATGGTAAGGCGTTCGACATCGGCGAATCAACTAAGGTCACACACACACAGGACAGTTATAGTGTAGGGATTCCAACCTAAGAGTAAATAGGCCACCTTCCAAGCGATGATCCATGAGCGAGGGGTGTAGTATTGCATATATTCCCATTACCAATGGAAGGAAACTACGAGGAGATTTTGAACCTTAAAACCTCAGAAAAAAGGCTTCGAGCACCGCATCAATAAAAAAAGTTGGGTAACAGCTTTAGCTGACATGATGGACTCGGATGACAGCTTACCCCAGACTAGTACCAGACTACACAACTTAGCTGTAGTGTAGCACCCCTCCGGTGCCTAGCTGCCATGCCACCCGAAGGAAGCACGAGGGCTGGGATACTGCCAGGTTGCCCAAGCCTAGACAGGGGAAGTCGAGAGGCAGAGGTCAGATTCGAACCATGGAACTTCCGGTCAGTAAATTCGCGCTCTAATCACTTGGGCCATCTCGCCCCAACAAGTGAGTGTCCAGTGTCCTTGAAATAGACGAAAATCCATGTAGGAACATTTTTTCCGGTTCGCTGAGACGACAAAGCGATCGATGGGGTGTTATCTGTCTCAAAGAACAGGCTCTAGTTCGAAGTGATGATGGGTGAAATGAGAAAAAAACCCAGTATGAAACTAATAAATCATTTGCAGCTGAGTATTTCCATTCTGCCCGTATGAGGGTGAATTTGTACCAGGCGAATGGATCGTAAGAAAGTGTTTTTGGTTTGCATAAATTTACCACCACCCCCACCAGACTAAACGCGAAAAGCCAACGTGGGTAGAATGGAATTTACACCGGATAAACAGTACACTGGGCGCTTAAGAAATGCACGCGTAGAAACAGAAAAGGCAGCAATCCGAATAAGTAAGTAATTAATTAGTCGTTTCTACACCATCCAATATGTGTTTTTTGTGGGGCAGTTTATCGTTCATAACAAGTGCTTGGGAAGGTGAACATGCTGGTTCCGAGGTAAAGTCCTCCGGATCTTCTACAGTCGGAAGCGCAGATGATGGTGAGGATTCTCGGGGAACCACCTGACTGGCACTTTGACTAACACTCGAAAGATCACCATCATCCACATTTGCTATATCCGATTCGGCGAGTGAGCGGTCTACAGAATTGAAAAATGGCTCTCCGGGGAAATGTGATGGTGGACAATACCTTGAAGATTCCAAGGGATGAGGGTATTGTGAAAAGTCATGGATGAAATTGTCAGGAGGCACCTGGCACATGTGTGGCAAGTGGGAATGGGCATTTGTGGGCGAAAGTTTCGGGTCTGTCATTCCAGGCGTCTCGTCATCTGATATAACTTCCTCTTCGCTGTCGAACGCATCCGAGTCATTCGATCCATTATCATGCAATGATTTTGACTGCCTTGGTTCACCTGTTTCGGTGGGCACATACTGGACGGGTACGGGCGGTACCACGGAGCCAGCTATGTTCTGAATCTGTGGCAAGAGCGAGAAGAAAGACAACACACATGAAGACGTATGCAGAAGTAGAGTGTTTCCATTAAAGCCCCCAGTGAGCAAGTAAACAGACGGGCGAAGTTCACTCATTCTCACTGTGTACAGATGATCTAAAGTGAAATGAGAGTGCGGACGCGAATGAGAATAGTGACTCGGTCAATGAAGCCCATATATTATACAAGCCGTAATCCGGAACCTTTCTGGATAGCTTATGAAAAATACAGACGCGTTGGCAGTCCAAGGGAGGTTAACTCATACTCACCAAAAACACCAAATGAAGAACGAAGTGACCAAACAGTACAGTGTAGAAAAGTACGCTCCACATACATACAATCAATCCATAGCGTGATGGAGTACGGAAGTGCGACACACTAATACGCACTGAGACGACGAGATGATCAGTCACTCTGGCAATCAAGTAATTCATCGCACGCGAACATCACTAACGTCCACCGCAACCGTATCGCTACTTGAAAGTCTCTGTTGGAGGCCACAAGACAAAGATGGCATGTGTGGCCAGTACACTGTCTCACCGGAGAACCGTACAACACAACATCGTGCATTGGTTATAGTTATACTTATACCAGCGGATGGGCCATCCTAAATTAACGGGGAAAAATGGACAGATCATACGACAGCCGCCCTCCGATCGAGTGAAACTGGAAGGTGTGAACGACTTCAAGCCAGCTATCTTGGTTTCTGATTTCAATGGAAACCAAAGGCTTGTTCAGCTGTTACATCAGGCTGAATGAGGATAAGGTGTCTGTCATTCCAGGCGTCTCGTCATCTGATATAACTTCCTCTTCGCTGTCGAACGCATCCGAGTCATTCGATCCATTATCATGCAATGATTTTGACTGCCTTGGTTCACCTGTTTCGGTGGGCACATACTGGACGGGTACGGGCGGTACCACGGAGCCAGCTATGTTCTGAATCTGTGGCAAGAGCGAGAAGAAAGACAACACACATGAAGACGTATGCAGAAGTAGAGTGTTTCCATTAAAGCCCCCAGTGAGCAAGTAAACAGACGGGCGAAGTTCACTCATTCTCACTGTGTACAGATGATCTAAAGTGAAATGAGAGTGCGGACGCGAATGAGAATAGTGACTCGGTCAATGAAGCCCATATATTATACAAGCCGTAATCCGGAACCTTTCTGGATAGCTTATGAAAAATGCAGACGCGTTGGCAGTCCAAGGGAGGTTAACTCATACTCACCAAAAACACCAAATGAAGAACGAAGTGACCAAACAGTACAGTGTAGAAAAGTACGCTCCACATACATACAATCAATCCATAGCGTGATGGAGTACGGAAGTGCGACACACTAATACGCACTGAGACGACGAGATGATCAGTCACTCTGGCAATCAAGTAATTCATCGCACGCGAACATCACTAACGTCCACCGCAACCGTATCGCTACTTGAAAGTCTCTGTTGGAGGCCACAAGACAAAGATGGCATGTGTGGCCAGTACACTGTCTCACCGGAGAACCGTACAACACAACATCGTGCATTGGTTATAGTTATACTTATACCAGCGGATGGGCCATCCTAAATTAACGGGGAAAAATGGACAGATCATACGACAGCCGCCCTCCGATCGAGTGAAACTGGAAGGTGTGAACGACTTCAAGCCAGCTATCTTGGTTTCTGATTTCAATGGAAACCAAAGGCTTGTTCAGCTGTTACATCAGGCTGAATGAGGATAAGGTCATGGTGTCCACAAGTTCAATTCAGTTCACGGAAGACCTGGAACATTCTAACCAGAAGGAACTGTGGTTGCAGAATATAATACATTCACATCTGTTACACATTGAAGGGCCAAGAGATTGAGTATGTACAGAAACGGATCCCTTACAAAGATGGAATTGGTGGAAAATATGCCTGACTCTTCACAACCAAGAGCATTGGACCCTGACAGTTGACCGTTATAACCCACTCACAAGCTCACAAGTTCAAGATTAATCAGCGACCCAAACTGCACATCGATCACAGTACCGGCAGACGATGACAGTCTCTTGAATGGGACAGTTTTCGGCAAAACCGAACAGTCAGTACATAAATTATACAATGCTGGACAGTGAGCAGCGTCGGTGCTACTCGCCTTCCAGGATGGGGACCGCGTGATCCTCACTGTGCCTGGTTGGAGACACTACAAGATATGGCTGCCAACCGATGTCAGTGGCGTTCTTGTTGTCAGTTTCTATCCAGATTGCCTGAGTGAATGTCTGGAGATGTAGGCACCTCTGAATGATTGTGTTAAGCTAGCACTAGGTCCCTCTCCCATCCACCTTTATTCTTTTCTTTACAATAAGGCTTTCAAATAAGCCATGGTTGTACGGCAGTGAAACATCGGTGTTGAACACTGATGTCATGCTGTCGATGATGATGAATCGGATTAACACACGTGAAAGGAGAGCAGTAAAAACTAACGCAATCACACGTTGTTCAAAGGTCTGGCACAAAAACAACAGATGACAACGAGTAGCATCACACGGATGACATCACAAAACCGAGAACGAAGGTTACTTAATCAAGGTACAATGCGAGAACCGAACTTGCTTCACTTTGGTCGCATGAGGCCGGAAGGTTAGGTTTTAGAGATGGGCGATTGGGGCAAACTAACAGTGTTACCAGGAACAAAAGCAACACTGGCTGATTGTACGATGAGGGTGGGCCGCTATGGTTCCGCGGCAGCAAAAACAAATATTCGAAGCACCGAGCTCAGCTCAAACACATGTTCGGCGGATTTAAGAATGGAAGGAGTAAAACTTACGCTTTTAATTTGAACGCCACTGAAATACATACTACTCATTTGTTTATTCATCGTTCATATTCGTCATCGTGAAGGCATCCATACAAACTCGTTATATCCGCCCGTTTTTACCTTTCAGCAATGAACCGCGTAGCTACCCTCTGCTTGATTGACGCCACGCTTTTTTATATTCGAGACTCGCCTTATCTTTGTCAACTTCATTACCTTGAGCTCACCAGTAGTGTTTTGATGTTCCTATCGACCTGTGATCGTAAACATTTCGACCGCGCGTTAAGTGGAGGCTCGCTTCGCGGGAAGAATGTACACAAACGATAGTAGGGAGCATACAAGTGCGTATATGAACCACTCAAACTTGGCGATGCTTGGTTAAATAGTGCGTTTTGTTCTTAAACCGCTTGTGCAACAGGGCATGGCCCCGGGTCGTGAATATCATAGCCTCTTTGAATTCAGATACTTGTGACCGGATTCAAAAGCTTGTCAAAAGCGATGATGTTCGACAAGGGTGCGAAGTCCATGCAATATTGTTCAGTTCCACCAATGGTGAGGTGGTGAGGTTCCACAACCCCCGATGTTCAGATCTACCTTCAAGAGCAAAAGCCTGTCTAAATTGTAAAAAGAGTAGGAATCGCAAGCAGAATATGATGTGGCACGGGAGAGCCTTACAAGGTCTTGGGGCAGCTTGCCTTCCAGGATGAGACGCACGTAAAACTCCCTGTGATACTGAAAGATAGGACAGTAGCCGATGTCAGTGGCGTTCATACTGCCTGACTGGGTGCTGCAGATGCAAGCACCCCATGTCTGTGATGGGCCAGTCCTAAACCCCACACCCCGTCCCACGATTCTTTTCATTACAAGGCTTTATCCCGATAAATTGACCTGATTGTATGGTGGCGAAGCACCAATATTCTTCTCTGGTGTTACTGTGGCGGACGGCAGTATCATGCTCAGAAGTTGCATTGTTCTATATTGATCAAGTGGAAAAATACAGTTGCGTGGCATTATGACAACGTTCACAGTAACGCGGATCGGAACGTTCATCTCAGAGCAATGACAAGTGTGACAGGGTTTGGACAAAGAGGCCAGGCGGACTTTATGATGTCGTGCTGGTCCGAAACGCATGTCACTTTTCTACGCATAACCTCGTTTGGCGGAGACCAGTGTACTTTAACAAAACGAGCAAGAACATGCACAGCGTTGAACTCTTTCTTAAGATTTGAGAAAGTAGACCGTGAAGGTGCAAGTACCTGAAAACCAACACAATCTGGGTATAACACGTGCCATCCAACGGAAGCGAGTTTGTAACCAATTGAAAGCAACGGGTAAAGCTTTGCAGCTGAGGCATAAGTCAAACAATGCCTCCTCTCATCTTCCAGACTAGTCTGAGCGCGCTGCATCGAATCGCATTACAGCAGTTCATTGAAATAAGTAGCCCAAAGAAAGGAGGCTTTCCTACAAAAGCAGAACCCTGTTACAAGGCCATGAAATCATTACAAAGTAGGGCTAATTATCAACCGTTCCACGTACTTTGTTTCCGACAGGGGACCTGGAATCGTTCCATCTTGAAACCAAATCCTGGATGATCTGATTTTAAGGCTTTTTTGGTGCATAATCAGGTGTGCGAATAATCATCATGAAGCTTTCTTGTTAGCACAGTCCAATAAATGTTTTTCCCTGTGGACTTGCCTCGTTTACTGCGTCCAACTGCAGTAACGTTGCGATGCCAAACAAAATGCCGTCAATTGATCTCCACCTTCGGAAATCTGGCATTCTTGGTAAGCTGGAGCCAGTGCGGTATAATTCGAGGATCCAACCGTAAAAAGTCAAAGAAAGGATGCCAACGGTCGAGGGAAACAAGTGAGTCTGTCGTTCGTTGTGGCGTCATTTTCATGGTAAATGAAATCGTTGTCCTATGGGGAAAACCCGTCGGAAACAACGTGGATGCGTTTCAGTCTGATTCGGTGTTGGAGGGGTAGCTTTGTATCGAATGTCAGTCAGCGGAATACGAAAGCCAATTCGTACTCTCCAGCAACTGTTCTACGAATACAGCTATAATCTATGTGTGACCGGAATATGTGGACAAAAAATAGGGAGTGAGAGACGAGCAATCAGCTATCTCACCAAAAATAGTCTGCTAATGGGCGAACAGAAGAACGGATACAAGGCGGAAAAAAGTATAAATCCAGTGGAGCTGGTATCAACAAAAACATCGACAGATGCCAATAGGTACGAGGCCAACGGGCGTACAACTTACTGGAAATTCCTGTACTTGAGATGCCGGCGGAGGACAAAAGGGTGGTCGAAATGGAACTTGCTGCCAAGACGCGTAGGTCGGTATGAGGTAAGGGAAGGGTTGCACAGACGGTGGTGAGCGGCAAAGTATAGAAGGTGTTCTGGGAGAAGGACCACCGGGCACAAACGGAGGAGTGCACGAAGGTGAGAAGGCGGTTAAACGGTAGCGGTCATGGTCCAAAAGCAGATCTGGAGCTCCGTTAAACCTGACCGACGAGGAACTGCATGGGAACTGCGGGGGCTGGGAAGCACATACCGGAGATTGAGAGGTACTGGCCAGAGGCTGATTGGGTGGTACCGGCGGTACGGGGAGCTGGGACCACGAATGAGGATGAGTCATAGGGTATTGGTCAGACCATACAGGATGCAGATGAACGGCAGGGGACATCTTGGGAGGGAATATTTGTTGTTGCTGTTGTGAAGGACTTCGTGGAAACGCAATGTTCTGAGAGAATGAATCAGTTGACGGCGGTTCACGACTTGGCTGCAGAATAATTATACATGGAGAGCTCAAAGCGAGTGACAAATTGAGCCAAGTGATTGAAAAAATGTCAAGTTGGATGCATTACATTTCTACATGTATTCACAAATAAAACTCATGAGCACCAACGTTTAAGAGGGACCGTCTATGCTGAATCTACTTAAATAGCCTACGATACTGCTCTAAAGGTCTCACGTTAAAGTGATCAGATTATGTCCGAACCCACCAACCTTCGTCGGATGCGAAGATCTATGAGACCCTATAACTTTACCAGTTAGTCGACTCAGAAAGCTAAGGGATGAAAAAAAACGGAGTCGTAATAACCAACAAATTTCACGGTTACTTTTAACAACTGAGGAAAACTTGTGAAAAAAATTCAAGACTATTGCGTATAGATATGGTGTGAGGACGACAACCAGTTCTATTCAATCTGGAGGGGCTGGTGGAAGTTGGTTTCGTTGCAAACTGGGCTACGAGGTTAGTGAGAAACTGACAACAGCCACAAAATGACAAAACCTACGGCGACCTCGTTTTGATGCTGCAAAGCCAAAGTTGCCGCGGCTGTGGCTGCAGCGAATGCAGCAGCCAGCATTGGATTGAGTGATGCAGCTGCCGGATCATGAGAAACTGGAGGGCGGACACCGGGGATTTCGTAGCTCGCTGAGGGTGACCAGGCAGTTCCTTCTGATTGCTGTGGTTGGCACGAGGTCCCGGGAGTCTGCTGTGGTAAACTGAGGGTAGAGACAAGGCTGGCTAACGCCGATTCCCAGTTCATCGCACTCTTGTGCTGAGGTAACGGTTCTTGGCTCCCGACAGATGTACCGTCATCACCCGCAGCGGATAAGTCTGAACTTCGACGTTTTCGCTGAAGTTGCATCATAGGTGCGACCACTTCTACCCAGCGTAGCACATCCATAAGGAGCATACGAGTGCGCCATAGTTCACGCCAACTAGCTCCGGCCTGGTTGACAAGCAGACGGTAGGAATTATAAGACTCGGCTCCAGAACTTGATGCACAGGAAAGCGAACGAAGTGACATGCGACTCCCGAGCTCCTCGGCCGCTGCATTGGTATCCGGATAAACCGACCATCTAGAATTCGAAGGGGCTGTGCGATCGTTGGTCGAGCTACCATGACCGTCCGAGAGCGCAGCAGCATTGGAAGTATTGGGCATCGTAATTCGCGTCAGTGCACTACGCATAGACGAAGACGAGGCTTGGCTGCCGTCGAAACCTGGAAGAAAGAGAAGTAACTGATGTCCTGAGCGTCAAGAGGGATGATAAGCAATAACTACTTGCAGAGGTAAAGAAGAGTAGAACAGGTACTAGTAACACGGGAAACTGCAGCAAATAAGTGGGGCACGTGTCCTCCCGAAGGAATAGTTTTGTGTATCTGTAAGACAGAGATTCAGGAAAACCGTTGTTCTGACTAAATCACGAGCGCCGACGGCAATTAGTTGAATGCATTCAAAAGATTGAAAGCGGATTGATTGGTTCTTACCCGACTGGTTGTTTCGACGCGGCTTGCGATTGAGACTACCACGTAGGGAAGCAGCAGCAAACACAGATGCGGCTGCCCGTATTAAGGAGAGCGACTCATCATTCACAGATCCAGGTTGTTCTGAGCCGGCCGCCGAAACGACCGAACTGGGACCACTTTTTTGTGAACCGACAGTGCTCGATGCTGGAAAGAAAACCCCAGTGGTCGACAGGCTGCGCGAATAACCACGACGATTACCTTGGGGGTGACAAGCGGAAATCGACGGTGATGGACTACCATATTTGATCGAATAACGGCATCACTCACATAATTGCGTTTAATGTTGTTCTTGTTGAATCGCAAACATACTCATGAAGTGACAAACCAATATTTTTCAAGTATGAGTGACTATAATCGGTTAATTTCCTGGAAAAACGCGCATACTCAAAGAAACACGAGGAGTAATCCGAGGGAGACGCTCTAAAGAAGTAACTCACCCGTAGCACTGCGGCCTGAGATAACACGACGATGGCGATTCCGACGGCGTGATGTGGTCTGCGAAGAAAAATGTAAAACTGTGTGAATTTGTAGAATAGTTAACCTTAAAAGAAGTGAGGTGGACAATGTGGTACATGGTATGTTGAGTAGCAACTGAATTGTGCCAGAGGTCACTACATCTGCGAAATTTGCAGCACTTGGGAATTGTTGGTAGCGTCAGGAAATTGGGGACTTTTAAAAAATCGATATTTCGTCCTGTGAATGAAATCAATTTGTGCTGAAAAGCCGAAAGGCACTGTGATTGAAAGCTGAATGGCGGTATGTCCTGTCGAAGTGCGAGCTAATCACACAGCTGACCTACTGCTCGTGGTCGA